AGCATCAGTATTTCTGGTGCTGAGTCGAACACGCGGGTTGGTGTTAATATATAGATGTGCTAGAGTTGCATATTTTGATAGCAAATTAATTATTGAGGAGCCTTCGAGTTCAAGATACTCCCCCCCCCCCCCCCCCCTTTTTTTTTCTTTTGTCCCCTTGTTTACCATCTTAATGCCAGATTTTTTCATGCCGGTACGTGCCCTATTTCGGCAGCAGCGCGCCTGTGTTTGGGGGTGTATCGCGTAGATGAGCCCAGCATACTGCTGCAGCAGAAGCACAGGAGGAGTGAGAACACGTAGCTATATGAGCGCTCGGTATTTGCATTTTTAGTATGTAAATGTAGTCCTGCCAAAATTCGAGTCATCTGGATTTTTCTTTATTTTTGAGTTTCATTCCGCTTAACAAAGGGGAACTTCTCAAGGAAGCTAACTGTACATCTGCCTTGATTAAATACTTGAAGTATTCAGTATTTAGCTCCTTTTTTTGGTACTTGGTGTGAAATTGCTTTCATTAAAAATGAGTCATTTGGGGAAAATACCACTCATGCTTTTCTGCAAGGGGTTACAAATCGTTCTTTTTCTCGCCGTGATTAAGATTTTAGCACAATGGTCTGTGGGATAGAGGAACAGCTGGCTTGAAATGGAAAATGTAAGGGGAGGGGAGAAGGACTGCTATAATGTTTATGGAAGGTGATTGCAATTCCGTCCCAGTATGCATGGGGAAATGAGAAGTCCCTGTAAAACTAGATATTAGAAGGGAGAGTTTTTTGGTCCCATCTGTCTTTCTCCTGGATATTGGCAATCTTAAGTTAAATGTTGCTAGTTTCTGTTATGAAGGTAGGTGCTCATTTCCAGTGGCTTTTGCAGGTTCCGTGGGCGGGGAATGGAGCTGGAACCAAAACCAGGCTCTGCGGTCAGGAATCAGGGTGAGCTGGGCTCACCTCCGCGAGCCAGCGGTCGTAGTCCCCGGTTGAATGAGCGAGGCATTTGAATGAATTTTTATTATTGGTGCTCTGTGCACTTCTCCTTCTCCCCACAGTTAATTCCTTTTCTGTCTCTTCCATAAAGCCAAATAATATTTACTTACCTTTCATTCTTTACGGTAATATACAAGAGGAGAAGGACGTTTTGGGGGTAGACAATATATCCTTTATCATATGAACATATACACTTTATTTCTAGGGGACCACACTTGTCTTTGTTCTCTCAAGTTTAAATTTCATGTTCAATTCTTATGAAGGCTCCTGTGGATGTTACATTATTCCTACGTGACAGCAGTTTCCTTATTAGCGTGTTTATCAAGGTATAATTAGATTATTATCTTATCTGAAAATCTGTTTCATTAATAAATAGAATATTTCCTTCCAAGGTTGTTTTTGGATGCTTAGTTGTCAGATGCTACGTTGATATGTCACTGGTGTCAAGAAGCAGGATAAAAAACTGTGCCACTTGTTGCATTTTATTGGGTGTAGCAGCTCTCGTGAATATTCAGTAAAAACTGTTGCAGAAACGAATTGATGTAAACAAACCCAGGCTGCCCCAAACAAACGTTCCAGCCTGAATTTCTCTTTGCATATTGATTCCCTGCTCTTTGCATGACCTTCTCCATGTCGCTTCAGCCAGGAAACTGCTTTAAAATCTGTTAGGGATTGTCATTCTGTAGGTTCACAAAACCCTATCTGGATCTCAGGACGTACTTTGTTATTTTAATGATCTACACCCGAGGATCTGCGTCAAAATCCTTTTTTTCAGGTCGGGACCAAATGAAAGTTAACCTTCACGCAGAGCTGTTTTCTAACTTTTTTTTTTTTAGGGAATAATTTTCCCAGCAGGTAACACTGATACATAGTAGCTTAGAAATTTTTGAATGTCAGGCAGGAAATAAAAGGAATTATTTCTATCCCTGTTAGGAAAGTGGGTCAGGCTGTGATATTTATTTATAGGATGTCTCAATATTTTCCTTTTCCTTTTTGTGCTGCAAAACTGACTGATCTTTGGCTTGAGCTTTTCTGTAAATGCTGCTGGCAGGTACTGTGCTCTGATTTTGGAAATTGGTGATGGAGGGGGGCAAGTTTGCAGCTAAATCAGGCTTTAAACATGTTTTTTGAGGGTTGAAATGGAGTATTTTGGGGTGCGTTGGTTAGGAAGAACTGGGCAGCGGTTTCACATGTAGCACTGGAAAGGAGAAGGGATCGCTCCTGATTATTTTACTTGTAGAGACTTGGGTTTTTGCATGTCTTGGCAAAGCGCAGCAGGATGATGGTCCTCTGCTCTGTGGAGATGGTCTTAAACTCCGATTATTTGCTGGCTGGCAGGTGAAGTCAGCAGCTCAGCCCCATTTCATTCCCAATACAACACACGTCCCACCAATGAACTCTTCTCGCCTGGGTTTAAATGTAGGACTCGGGACTTGAAAGCTTATCAACGCAAAGTGCTCTTCAGCTGGAGGAGAATATTGACGTGTCTGTCAATTCTGAGCATGTGCTTTAAAAATTTTAATTACCATGCCTTATTTACAAGGTACACAAGTGTGGTGTACTGCAATTTAAATGCTTGTACATGTACTTAAGATACATTTTTGACTAATTGAATGTTTCTAATTTGGGGAAACTGCTGAAAAATCATCCGACAAACCTTGTGTGCTATTTGCAACTGAGTGTGAATCACAATTAAGTTTTGAAACAGAAGGGAGGGCAGAATAATGAGTGAAAAGATGTTGAATGCTAGAAAAATGGATTCAAACTGGTGGAATCAGAAGTGCAAACTGCATCTTGGAATGGTCTAAAATAGCTCATTTGTAAAAAATATTATTTGGGGGGGATTATTAAGGCTTTGAGCTTGTAAGATCTTGAAAAAAATTGTCTAGATATGTGTTAAGTTGATTTAAGGTTCTGCGTAGACCAAATATGTGGAGACTCTTTTCTGTTAAAATTACAGTGATTGTATTTTACCCTATTATGATTTGGAAATCTTGCAGGTATTCATACATACAACAATACAAGCAGAAATTACTAAACTAGAGTCTTGCATAGAAGTTATTATATTTTTAATTTCTAACCAGAATTGAAATTGTGCAACACACTATTTTCTAAAAAGAGACTCCGTAACCTTCCGGAATGGCATGATGAATTTAGATAATAAAGCATTCTGCCCTCACCCCCCTCTAGAAAACTAAAGAGAAACTTAATGATTGGAGCTAAAGTTTGATAAATGCAAACTGGAACGTGGACACAGATCAAGAAAAAAAATTAATAAAATGACATGTTTCGGGGTTTCTTTTTAATCCTTACGAGTATATTCAGAACCATTCTTCTTCCTAGAAGATACACTTCATTTAAGCATATATTATAGTGTTTGTTTTATATATTACCTGAAGTCAGGCTGGATGATCTAATGCAATGAATATTTTATTTTTTGTTTTGATCTTCCAGTGGTAGACCTTGATGGGACCTGTCTGGCTCTGGAGATCTTTCATCATTAGCCTTTGACGATTCTCTGACAATCGCAATAATGTGCTTTCTCCTTACTTGCATCTCTCGGGTTGTGGAGTTTTGGGTGATGCTGAGGCGATTCGTGTGGGTAAGAGGGCTCTTGCAAAGGCTCTTGGCC